GAACTTCCATGATGGTATTCTATAAAAGGACATCTTTTTTCTTTTTACGTTGCAATTCTGATGTCCATCTGTGCAAAAATACGTTTTTTCCTCTTTCCAAACACTTCCTGCCACCAGGGTTCCACAGCCCACCCCTGTGTGGCCCCCTCAGTGCAATAAAAGCAAATGTTTTAGGTCCACAAGAACAAAACCATCTCTCACTACAAGGTCAGCTTTCAGAATTGGCTGCCTGCAACTTTGCCGTTACCCCAAAGTTACATTTCAGCTTTTGGGCTCAAAACAAAAAAGTGTTCAAAACAGGACTTCCAGGGAACTATCTGGAAAAGCTGCAGCACCAAACACATTGCAGATATGCAGCAGGAGTCTACCTTGAAGGGGAGATGTTCAGCCTGGTTCTGTAAGAGGTTTCTTCCTGTTAAAAATGGAGTTTTTCCTCCCCACCGTCACCAGTGCTTGCTCTTTTCAACGTATTATGGTGGAGTCTTTATCTTACCAAATAAAGACTTCGAAGTGACCATTGCTCTGATTTGACGCTGTATAAATAGAACAGAATTGAATGAAATTGCATTGAATTGAAACATAGCTCCACCGTGCTGCTGTGCCACAGGTGGTCAGAGTCCACAGGGCACCTTTATATTGTAAATCTTTAAAAACACTATCTATTATTTTGTCCTGGCTCTTGCTATTGTGCATTTTCCTCTCAATGGCCTTAAATCCTCCAGCCGTGTAATCTCATTGGCTCTGGCCACCTCCGGGCTGCTGGACCAGCTGCTTCTCCACATTGTTTCGACTCATTTATTGTTCCTGTCTTGGGGAAGCTCAGGGCACCTCACAGTAAATGAGGCTCATTGCAGTCAGGGCAGGGGGACTGAACCTGTGACCTTGTTTTTGCCAGTTCACTGTCTCTCGAACATGAAAGCAGCCACCGCAGCAGTCAGCACACGTGGGCTCTCCTAAAACAAAAGTCTTTTTTTCTTTTAGCCCCTTTCCCCTCGTTCTTGTTCGCTCGCCATTAAAAGCCATGACGCCCATCTTAAAATGAAACAGCAAATCTCTTGAAACAATTTCGTCTTATATATCTGCCAGGCGCTGGAGTTGTGGTGAGGGGGGACAAGATGACAGTAAATGAATATTGATTTTTCCTCTCGTACTGTGCAGCTGGTTTCTGGCTGAGTGAATTTACTCTTACAGAGTTGTCAGAGGGTGGGCTGTTTAATGGGGTGTTATCAATTCACAGAGCGTTTGAGTGCTTTCTGTTGGTGTGCTTACATGATGCAGTGGCTGCTGGGTTTTAGTTATGATGTAAGAGAAAGACATTCAGAGTTAAAAACGCAGGGGTTGATGCAGAAGAAGAGGCCGGAGCCGTTCAGACGATGTGTTTGAGTTGTTTAAGATTCCAGATTTTTCACGCTCGTGTCTTACCTCGGATTAATCGGATTTGAGCAGCTTGGGTATTTATAATGCTGCCAGTTGTTGTATGTGATTGCTGCTGTTCTCAAACGTGATTAAACACAGCTTTCTGCTGCTTTTGAAAAAAAAGAAGCAGATTTGAAGCTAGCATATGTCTCTGTGAGTAATTCACTCAGTTAATGACGTTTGCTTGTAAATTATTAAATGTTATTTCAACACTGCACTCCAGATTCTACAAGTTGCCTCTTTTGCAGTTCTGTGGGGGGAAAAATGTGTTTTGATTCGGTTGTTTGATTTGAGAGTGGCGGGAAGTGGCGCTGAATTAAAGGGAAAAAATTAAAGAGTTTGTGTGGGTGTAAACAGGTTAATATTATGGAGAGGCTTAGAGTAGTGTTATCAAAGGCGAGAGGTGATAGGTATGAGACGACGTACGGGGGATTTGTTAGACATTTGAAAAGGTCACAGCAACGCTACAGTGAGAAAGACGCAGAGACTGTTTGAGCAGAAAATCCATGTGTGTGTGTTTTGTGTCTACAATCTGCTTTTTAGGATAACGTTGAATCGCCTCAATGGGAGGTAGCCCTGTGGAGTATTTAAGAGGACCGGCTCCATACTTTTATTCTTGCACTCTTTGCGTGACACCCAGTTCATAATAATCTTTATTTATCTTTGACCGGGCCCAGGTGAAGCTGCTCAGTTCGCTCTCTGCGTGAAACGAGCCCCTTCAGCGCCCCTCCCTTTAAGCCCACTAGCTAATTGGCTGCCCCTCATAAACAAAAGGGTCAAACAGCAGGTGGGCGGGGTTGTTGTTCTCATAGCTGTGGTATCTGGCAGGCACGCCCGGGATATTTAGGACAGCTTGAAGCCTGTGTTTCTGGCTTACAGCATTAGTTTTAAACTTGTTCTGGCATGCTCCTCTTCAGAAGCCAGAGAAAGGTCACAGCCCACAGTTCTCATCCATTATTAACAATGAAAAAAAGGGTCTACTGTGAAACGCGGCCTACGTTGAATTTTACTTAGAAGTGCAAATTTTACAGCACGATGGCAAGACCGTCACCTCACAACAACAAGGTGCTGGGTCGGGTTGTGA